TTTTCATTTCCCAAAACAGTATTCTATCTAGAAAACCTTAAACTACACAGGGAAAGATCACACCAATGTGGCAGGACTGTAGTTTAAGAGAATGAGCTACCCAGTACAACCAGTGTCCTCAAAGACAGTTGTACAAGTTCAATTTGGAATTTAGGAAAACATTTTTAAAATATTTTTATCCAGTAAAACAAAACAAAACAAAACTTACCTTTCTCTTCACAAATTTATCCCAGTAGTTATTGGGGAAAGATCTGAAAGTCAAAGGACAAAGTTATTGATGGGTCTGTCTGGCACAGACCCACTGCTGGAACGAGACAATTCTACTACAAAAGCAAAATCAAGACGCAAGTCACCAAAGTTCTTTGTGTTACTCGTGCACGAGGGAGGCCCGACTGAAGTCGAGTGTTGTTCTGCCCACTTGACCTCCGTCGGCCTCTCAGCCAGGTTCCCTGTAGTGCTCCTTTTATTGTGGTTACATCAATATGCATAGGTTCATTAACAAATGACATCTTACATAGGCATGCATGTGAACAAAGAGTACCAGTCTGTGCATAGTGTGTGTGTGTGTTCCTGTGAAGACTCCCCAAGCTGGTGCTAGGAGCGCTGTGGTCCACCTAAACAAAGGGCTCTTATACTTAACCAGACACAGAGTAGGTGTCCTCCTATACCATAAATCACTAAGAGAAGGTGTGACCTCTCTCATGACCTTAAGATGTGTGTGTATGCCAGAACACTCTGAAAGGCACACAGAGTCGTTACAGACTACTAAGGATCAAACCTCTATCAATCTACAAACAATTTTATACTTCTAAGAATATATTGTTATATATTTCTAAGCATAAATGACAATCCACAATATAAACCTAACAGTTACTCTCTCTTTCGCATTTACTCTCAGTTCTTTCTTCACCACAACAGACCGGTACAGCATCCGCATCACTGGAGCCGCAGCACCAACCCATCTGTCGATCTCCTGCTCCCCTCTCCCCTCACTCGTGAACAAGACACCGAGTTACTCCTTAACATGGGGCAGAAACTCGTCCCAGAACCAGAGTGGGCACTCCTGCCTTTTCCGGCTGAGCACCATGGCCTCAGACTTGGAGGTGCTGATTCTAATTCCTGATGCGTCATATTTGGTTGTGAACTGCTCCATTGTGAGCTGCTAGCCACCACCTGATGAAGCCAACTGAACCACATCATCTGCAAAAAGCAGAGACAATATTCTGAGGAAGTGGAACCCTTCAACCACTTGGGTATGCCTAGAAGTTCTGTCCATAAAAATTATGGATAGAATCAGTGACAAAGGGCAGCCCTGGTGGAGTCCAACACTCACTGGGAATGAGTCTGATGGTGATGGTTGAAGGCCTTCTCCAAGTCCACAAAAAACATGTAGACTGGTTAGGCAAACTCCCATCCACCCTCAAGTATCCTTTAGAGGTTAAGAGCTTTTCCAGTATTCTGCCACCAGGATGAAAATCACATTGTTCCTCCTGTATCCAAGGATCGACTAATGGATGGACTCTTCTATCCTCACCCCGGCATAGACTTTACCAGGGAGGCTGAGGAGTGTGATCCCCCTATAGTTGGAGCACACTTAACACTTGACTTCCTCTGTGACCTCACCCCCGGTGATGGACGAGTCGTCCCCTTTGTCCCCAGACTCTGCTTCTTTATTAGGTGCAGCGCTGCTGACTTCGACTGAGGATATTGTTGGGCGGTGGAAGGAATACTTCCAGGACCTCCTTAATCCCACTACAGTGCAGGTAGAGCACCGCTTTCCCCTCCTGAGTCGCCTGATAGTTTGCCTGGATCTCTTCGAGGCAGTCTGAAAGTCATTTGCGGCATGGCCTCTCCGAACTCCTCCCACGCCAAGTTTTTGCTTCTGCAAATGCCTGAGCCGCATTCGCTGTTGGTACCTATTGGCTGCCTCAGAAGTCCCACAGGCTAACCAAACCCGAGGGGACTTCTTCTTCAGCCTGATGCTTTCTTTCACCTCCGGTGTCCACTATCTGGTTCAGGGGTTAACACCATGACATTGCACCAACCACAGGCACTAACACCCTTGCCGCTGCAGTTTAGTGGAGCGACTTCAGCAATTGAGGTCCTGAACATGGTCCATTCGGACTCCATGTCCCCAGTCTCCCCCAAAATGCTGTAAAAGGTCTGCTGGAAGTGGCAGTTGAAGTACTTGCAGACTAGGTGTCCCCAGTGCAGCCTCACTTTACATTTAAGCGCCCCAGATATGTTCAGCATCTTCGCCTGACACCTGATCGAACTTACTACCAAGTGATGATCAGTTGACAGCTCAACACCTCTCTTCACCTGAGTATCCAGAACATGAGTCCACAGATCCGATGATACGATTACATAATCAATCATCGACCTGTGTTCTAGGAATCCTGGTGCCACGTGCACATATGGACACACTTGTGTTTGAACATGGTGTTTGTTATAGACAAACTGTGGTTTGCACATGGGTTTTTGAATCACTCTTTGTCTGGTCCCTTACCCAGGTTGGGTGCAGGTTATTCCCCCAACAAAAATTATATGCTAACTGATCAACAAGAAAGATAATTCAAAACTATAATTCAGTTGAAAATCGGTTGAACCTCTAACAGAATCAGCCTGCACCTGTGCTTAACCCCCATCCTACCAACTGGGTAGGACTCAGCCCTCAGAGGTATAATTTTCTGTCATAACTTATAAGTGATTTCTTGTTTGTTTTTTTAAGCATTTCATTTTCTATGACTTTATCAATCAATTTGTTCTTAATTATGCCACATCATTGTTTCCACTTTGAAAGGTGCTTTTTTTTAAAAATAGAAATGACCTCCGTCAAAAGCACCCAAACTATGCAGGTGTAGTAAACTTAATAATTTTTTCAGTTACTGTCTGCCATGAATCCTACGTATCACACGGTATAAAGAGAGGTATACTGTACTACGTCATTTTAAAGAATAACAACTCAGAGGCCATCATGGCATTCATGATCTGGATGAGAAACTTTAAAGACTGGAAGTTATCAGAACATTGCAGATGTCGCCAAATCTACCTGAGACTGACTGAAGCGCTGGTCATGTTACACATGAAAAGGAGAGCTGATGTTGCAACCTTCCAAGCCCTAGTCCAGTCACTGAGGAAAACTTGCTAATGTGACTCTCAAATGTTTGACTGGAAAATCTACTTGAAAAGGGATTTAGTTTAGTACGGAAACACAGAAAGGAAGGTAGCAACTGTTTGCTCTTCCTATTACATGCCAGCATTCCCTGAGCAAAGCATGAGGAAAACTGCGTGCTATAACTGCTTACAGTGTGTTTTTAACTGTAATTGTTTTTGGTCATTTCCAGCACAATCATGGTGAGAGTTGATTCACATTGCATTGTTGGTCTCTGCAAGGGTTGTAACTGATTCTGATTGATGCAGGAAACACTGGCAGGATTAGATCTTTGGCCTCATTGGTTTTGTGCTTACTTCCAATATTTTATACTGGGGTAAAATTACTCTAATTGGGTTCATATATAAATACAACACAAATAACGTTTGATTAAATTTAATGAAAACTAGGTGATATCAGAATCAAATGATGGTAAACAAGCTGTGAATAACATGGAGTATATTTGGGATAAAAGCTGCAAGTTGCATTAAAGAAAAGTATTGATTTTTGTTTCCAAAATATGCAATTTAATTGCAACTTTGCAAACATAATGAAAGTCTTCTTTTTAGATGAGATTAAATAATGACTATTAATTCCATCCATCCATCCATCCATTCGCTTCCGCTTATCCTTTTCAGGGTCGCGGGGGGCGCTGGAGCCTATCCCAGCTGTCATAGGGCGAAAGGCGGGGTACACCCTGGACAGGTCGCCAGTCTGCCGCAGGGCTAACACACAGGGACAGACAACCATTCACACTCACATTCACTCGCACATTCACACCTAGTGGCAATTTGGATTATCCAATTAACCTATCCCCACAAGCTGCATGTCTTTGGACGGTGGGAGGAAGCCGGAGTACCCGGAGAGAACCCACGCAAACACGGGGAGAACATGCAAACTCCACACAGAAAGACCCTGGCCTGATGGTGGAATTGAACTCAGGACCTTCTTGCTGTGAGGCAACAGTGCTAACCACCGTGCCGACTATTAATTCATTGACTATAAATATGGGTTGCTAATATTATTATTAATATTATTATTATGCTATTATATTTATTTCTTGCAGTAAATTATTCTCAGGGTGCCCACTGACCCCAATCAGCACTGGATGTATGTTAAAAATGGCAGAAGGTTGAGGGTTAATAGGCTATCTACAAATTATATCTTCTATTTCTTTATAGATGCAGCAGTCACTTGTTTTCGTGAATGAAAATAGTCTGTATAACAAACAACAATTTGATATACACATGCACACTCTCGTGTAGGGACAGAGGTCTACTTACTGTGTGTTGATTACCAGTCTGTCCCACTGTCCTTTGATGTCATCTTCTGATGGCTGCTCTGTTATATAAAGGCCATCAAATTCCAGCTTCCTAGCGACCTCCTTTTCACGTTTAAAGATCACCAGTGGCACCTATATAATGCACACAAAAAGTGGAGAAATGCAGATGTCAATGGGTTCTAGACTTAAGACTAACTGTAAATGATTGAAACTCTTAACTCTTAGTAACTGTCCTTATATTGAAATACATGTCAGTTTGTCCAGTTTCACATTTCTACACAGAGATTTGACCATAATTAAAACTTCAGACAGATTTAAAGTGAACTGATGGTAAATAATGTGTCCTGTTCTCCTACAGGTTGACTGTTTTACATACTGTATTTCAGATTTACAGGACAGACTTGATTGTAATGAAGCAGTCCTTCTGAATAAATCTCTGATGGCACACAGGATTCCTTTATTTCAAACATACCGATTCATCTAAAGCTGCCTCATGCCATTTTGTTTCCAAAAAGATGCACAGGTGTAAAGCCTGAGTACTTGCTCTATTAGTTTAGTAAGTATGTTACTACTACTATGTTAACTTGCTCAAGAGGTCTGCTCATTTGTGATTTAATAATTTGCATTGATCTTGGTAGAATGGATTGACCTTTATTGAAATGACCAGACTACATCTTTGTCCATAAATTTAATGTAGATTACCCGTAGACCTTTCCAAAGCTTTGTTGTGTGGCATTGCACAAATTTGACCGACTGGCGTAAGATTTAATAACAAACTCTGTGGTTGTTAATGGCAAATACTACATTGCAGATTCTAACATTTTGCACTCATTTCTGTTGTATGTCACAGTGAATATCCTACCTTAAGACAGTAGTATCCAATGATGCAGAAGAAGGAGATGACCGTGTGCAGGACAGCAAGGATCCGTAACATGGGCTCCATGTAGCCACTGCTCTCTTCCAGGACAAAACGAACGGTGACAGGCTTCTGGGGCATGCTGGTCTGATCCATCACCTCTTCCTTTGCATCCACAGTTGCCCCACCTAGTGGATCCCACTGAATGCTGCTCTCTGAATGGCTGGTGTGTACAACTTCCCTCTCCTCAGTCACTGATGAGGATGTAGAAACCTGGAAGGGAAATTTTTCGTCTAGTTATGTAAGCAAATAAAACAATAAGAAAACAAAGTAAAATAACATTAGTATCAGCTATTAGTCCAAAATTTAGTTTTAATTTTTATGACTGATTTGTCCTGAACCCCAACTTCAGGCTCTATAGCAGGGGTGGGCAACTCCAGACCTCGAGGGCCAGTGTCCTGCAGGTTTTAGATGTGTCCTTGGATCCATTACAGCTGATTTAAATGGCTAAATAGCCTCCTCAGCATGTTTTGAAGCTCTCCAGAGGCCTGGTAATGAACTAATCCTTTGATTCAGGTGTGCTGACCCACCGTGACATCTAAAACCTGCAGGACACCGGCCCTCGAGGCCTGGAGTTGCCCACCCCGGCTCTATACTAAAGATTCTAAACCAAGCTATAAACACAGCAAAGACTGAGTCTGAGTCTTCTGAAGCAACATACAATGTAGTACTGGCATACTAATTATTAACAGAATATTAAATGATTTGTGATTTGCATTTGCACAAGTTTGTACCAGTTTTGTCCTTATTCGTAATCTAGCACAGCAATGAAACTTTTTTTCCTAACCCTTGGATTTCCCTTGAAAAGGCTGGAGCCTACACGTCGCTCTCGCTCTGCAGGCCTACTTGTTGTTCCTAGAGTATTTAAAAGTAGAATGGGAGGCAGAGCCTTCAGTTTTCAGGCCCCTCTTCTGTGGAACCAGCTTCCAGTTTGGATTCGGGAGACAGACACTATCTCTACTTTCAAGATTAGGCTTCAAACTTTCCTTTTTGCTAAAGCATATAGTTAGGGCTGGACCAGGTGACCCTGAATCCTCCCTTAGTTATGCTGCAATAGACGTAGGCTGCCGGGGATTCCCATGATGCATTGAGTTTTTCCTTTCCAGTCACCTTTCTCACTCACTATGTGTTAACAGACCTCTCTGCATTGAATCATATCTGTCATTAACCTCTGTCTCTCTTCCACAGCATGTCTTTATCCTGTCTTCGTTCTCTCACCCCAACCAATCACAGCAGATGGCCCCGCCCCTCCCTGAGCCTGGTTCTGCTGGAGGTTTCTTCCTGTTAAAAGGGTGTTTTTCCTTCCCACTGTCACCAAAGTGCTTGCTCATAGGGGGTCATATGATTGTTGGTTTTCTCTGTATCTATGAAGCGCCTTGAGGCGACTTTTGTTGTGATTTGGCGCTATATAAATAAAATTGAATTGAATTGAATTCATAGGGAAAGAGGCAGGGTACACCTTGGACAGTTCACCAGTCTATCACAGAGCTACCACATATAGAGCGACAACCATTCGCACTCACATTCACATGTGTGTGCAATTCAGAATCATCAGTTAGCCTAACCTCAATAACAAGAACCATTAAATCCCAAACTGCTAGCTGGCACACTCCATCTCACTGCCTTTTTATCCGCCATGTCGATGTAGCAAAGTCACTTTGAAGAGTGAAACTGGTTGCAGACCTGGTCTCTTCTTTAAAGAATTCACTGCAGAGGCAATAAATTGTAAATGGTTACAATGATTTTGTTCTTCCTATGGTTTCCAACCACTGTTTTCCCTACTGAGACTGCAGGATAAACAACAACAAACAACTTTCTCATTTTACTCAGCGCAAATAGAAGAACACTCATTAATGAGAAGTACAATGAGTGTATTAGTGCTCTTTAAAACGTGCACTCACTCCTACTCTAACTCAGGCAAGCGTAAGACTTTCCACTGCAAAGGCCCATAAAACAAAAAAAAATTTCAAGTGTCCACAAGCAGTAAAATCCCTTGTATCATGTGCCTTCAATAATTGCACTGTTTAATTTGAAACCATTGCATGCAGCACCACACTCTGTAGAAGAAGATGTGCAGAATGTAATTACAAGAACATCCTTGGTACTGTTACCTTATAGAACAGAAGGATAAAGTTTATTGCAAAGGCAACAAACAGAGCCAACATCCTCATGTTGTAAAAGTTTCTGGCGAAGTAGTTCTGTAGGAGAAACCAAAAGATGAGCAAAAAAAGTGTTTTTTAAAGCTATGGATTGAGATGTTGTATAATAATAATAATAATATAGATGATAAGAAGAAGAAGAAGACAAAGAAAAAGAATAAGTTGGCCATACCAGCAGTTTCCTCTGGTAGGCAATGATCTTCTTTAAGAAAGCTGACTCCTGAACATCAGGTTCGTCAGACTTTGAGGTGTGATGCCTCCTCATTTTTGGTTTCATCGTCTCGTTCTTTGACTGTTTCTCTTGTTTCTCTACATCATCACTTCTGAAAACATAAGCCAACACACAGGTATTTTTAAAATGACATTACTGTTTCACTGTGGTTTTATTCATTTACTGTCTTTTTAGGTTTTTGGAGTTTAAAATGAATGGACTAATGCTTGTTATACACTATAAAGCAGCGGTCCCCAATCTTTTTTGCGCCACGGACCGGTTTATGTCCGACAATATTTTCACGGATCGGCCTTTAAGGCATCACGGATAAATCCTGTACCGGTACCAAAAAAACAAGAACATTTATTCATAGCACACGGGAAAAGCCCCAGGGAAACAGAGTTAATGATAAAAAAAATAATGATAAAAACCCTGAAAACCGTAAATTTAACACCCGAGTCTCAACTCTCGCGGCCCGGTACCAAACGATTCACGGACCAGTACCAGTCCGTGGCCAGGAGGTTGGGGACCACTGCTATAAAGCATTCTTTAATGCTGTTTGATGTGATTATTTCACTAAAAAAGAAAACACCATCAGGTCCTAAATGTATTAGTGAAAATGCACACATGCATTTATGCAATTCAAACATCCAGTTCCAAAAATATGTTTACGTACTCAGATGTTTTTTGAGGTTCACATTTACTCTCTAGTTTTGATTCCATCTCCTCTGAGGCAGAGCTCTTTGACTGAAAGAGAAAAATGAACAGTTAGACAAATATCCACAGCCACATTTGGTCACTTTTGTGGCTGATGACATGCTTGTACTGTTACTGTTGTAAAACGTCAGTATTTCTATGTTGAAATAGGCAGAATTTAGTCAGAGGAGTCAGTGAAGTTGTGCAACATCTGAATCAAAATCTTAAGACATTCGATCATTTGATCAAAGCTCACAGACACATTAGCTGATTGTGAAATTCTTATCTTTTACCATTCAAAATCAGCAGCTGTGAGAGCTGTGATTCATTTTAAACAGCTCAAGATAAACCTCCATGAAAGGGAGCAGTAAAGTTTCCACCATGTGGAAGTTAACATTTCAGTGGCTATCAAACTAGCTACAAGCACATGTTTCTGAGCGGATGGAGAAAGTAGAACAGAAATATGTAAAGTCGACAGACTTTAACCATTTTTCCAGAAATTGGAGTGTCCAACTGTAAATCTGGGAGATTCCAATTGCATATATTAGAGTCATCTATGTATAAAATGAAAATGTATTTGTTGATGATTGTTTAAACATGTTGTTTCACCATGTCCCAAACACCAAATACGAGGGCTGAGGTCCCAAATATGCTGTTTATTAGATCTGCCCCTCTGCATCATAGAAAACGTAATACATGGTTGTCTACCATAGGTTATCACTGTAATCTCTGCCAGAAATCAGTTGGCAAAGGCCAATACTAAACTTACAAAGCAGTCTATTTATTTTAATAAAAGATATGGGAGATTGACAGCCGACTGCAGGGATGCTGAGACATCGATGCCTGGGTATTCAGACGTGTTAAACACTGGTATATCATAGAGCAGTGAAATCCTTTCATTGGAATATTCAAAGGTAGAAATACAGATTTAGTCCAATTAATCCTGGACTCTGATATATGTCACCAAAACCTTTAAAAGAAAGAATACTCACGGTCGAGGGGTAAAAAGCAAAGAAAGGAGAAAAGAAAAAAGTGGAGGGGAAAAAGCAGAGCCTCTCACTTGTGTCATGAAAGAAAGTAAGAAAGAAAGAAATCACCTGATGTCTCCATCTGACTTCAGGTTGGGGTGCTGTGGATGGAGTTGGAAGGGGAACCGGGGAGTTGAGAAGTTCAGTAAAGCTGGCGTTGGGGTTATGGGGGGTGATTTTGTACTGGCCCCCTTCCCTTCTTAAGTCCAGACCAAAAATGTCTGACAGCAGCTCTGTCTCACTGGTATTGACTGTCAGGTCAGCCAAGTCTTCCCCGGTGGAGCTGTGATCAGATCTTTTCTCCCTGTTCTCCCCCTCACCGCGTACCTCGTCCTGAGTAGGGTCTGGCATATTGGCCAACAGCTCTGACACCTAGGGGCAGAGGCATTTTAGCTATTAGCAAACAGCTGTTACTTTATCTAGACTGTTCTTTATTTTGTTATTTTAAGAAAAATCTATAATAACCTTTATGGTCTTGGCCCCCTCCACCAGGTTTTCTCCAATGAAAGTGTTGTAGAAGATTCTGCAAAATCCTCGAGCCACATTGAATGCCACATGGAGGAGGCCCAACAACACCGACCAGTAGGTGGAGACCAGGGTGGTTACCATGTCCTTCACAGTCATGTTCTTTATCTTCTTCATTTGCTTCTTTAAGCTCTTCATGGACAGTACCTGAAACCAAAGCAAAGTTACTGGTGAACTGTGTGTTCAGTAGTATTACTGTAGACATTGTCAAGAAAGGTGAGACTGAAAGAAACTGAAGTCCCCGTGGCTTATCTCTTATTACATCTGAGAGACGGTGAACGGTTTTAGCACCAAATTTACATGTGATTTTGCTGATAGTTAATCATGCTTAATGGCTTAATATTGATCAGAATATAATCAAGTTTAACCAATACAATGAATCAGAAGATATAAGAGTGAATGAATAGTGGAGTTGTAAAGCGCTTTGAGGGCCCCGAAAAGCGCTATATAAATGTACACATGCACACACAGCTTCCATCCTTGGACTAGCCACTTCAATACAAAATCTGTTAGTAGATAGATTTTTTGCCCCACTGTATGTATGTAAGAAGGAGGGAGGGGGAAGTGAATGAAACTCTAACAAGACAATGATATTAGAAAATGTATGATATTGATACGGCATTAGTAAAAAAAAAAAGTAAAAGAAAAGTAATTGAAGCTATGGCTTGGCTAATTTGGGTTGAAAGTGATCATTCAGTAAATGTGTAGATGTCACGGTTCTGGCTCATTTTCACCCAGCATTTTGAGTTTCTTATGTTTTGGTTTATTTTTGCATTATGGATTATTTTCTGATTCTCTTGTGCTTTATTGATTATTATTATAATTCTATGTTTCAGTTTATTCTGGTTAAGGCTTTAGTTCTTAGGTTTTGTTTTGGTGTCCTCGTTTTTCCTGTAGGTGTAGTTCAGAGTCGAGTCTGCGTCTTTGTGTTGCCATTTCCTGTTTTATTGTGAAGGTCCACGTCTTATGTCAGTGTGTCTAGCTACGCTCCCCCTGTCTCGTTAGCCCTAATCTCTCCCAGCTGCCTCTCCCTCCTGTTTTCCATTCCCTGATTACTCCCCTGTGTATATAAGCCTTGTGTTTGCCTTTGCTCTCTGTCGTGTCGTACCCTCAGATTGTGCCTGTGTGTTTCTGTTCTCAGTGTTCATTGTTCAGTTCATGTTTTGTTTCCTCGCCAGCAGAAAAGCTGAGGTTTACAGCTGCAATTCAGTCTCCGAGTCCTGCGTTTGGATCCTCATCACACAGAGCCCTGACAGTAGATAACTATTTTAACAATACAAACGTATGACAATATATAGTATTTCTACTTAAAATTATGTTTCTGTCTCATTGTATGTTTCGTGGTGAGCTTATCTGACTGTGTGGGAGACATCTTTTCCATCCAGTGTCACACATCTTTAGAGGATCTGCCATTTGCTGAATTCAAGGTTTAAATATATATATGTATCTAAGAGTTTTCAAATTGGAATCAAGTTTCTTATCTCTGTTCTTTTGAAAACAGAAAGCATTACTTTCAAAACTGTTCAAATACTATTTTAGAATATTCCAAAATACACCCAGAGTGAGCTGTTAGCTAGGCTCAGTGTGTAACTCACCTTTATTAGCAGCATGATGTTATATCGAAGTGCTAGCAGTGCCATGTAGACAGTGGTGACAGAAAAGAACCCCACATCGGGGTTCTCCTCATCTGGCTTCTCACGCTCGCTCTCCTCTTTTATCGCCAAGCGCTCACCAGCGTCAGACATCTGAGCCGCCAGCTGCATTTCAAATATGGTGTCCTCACAGAAATTCACAAACAGCTCCATCTTCTCTTTCTCCCCTCCTTCATTCACCACATCAAAGATGAACTGACGCTTGGATTCCTTAACCTAGGATAAAAATACAAACTTTGGCATTGGTAGTGACGTACTACACTAAAAGGACAAATGTCATAGTTTCTGATGTATTCGCTGTATTTACCTGAGGTTTTTCCCACTGTGTACGACTGGACTCGCTGATCTCAAAGTAGACCCTCTCGATCCGCTTTGCACTTCCCATAATCTCGATACGGCCTAGGTATGGTTGGAAGTAATTGAGGACACTTTCTGCCAACTCCAGGAAAGTCTGCAGCCGGGTGTCATGAGGCATGTGCTCTGACAGGTTGGTCAGCAAAACCGCCACGTTGAAGCCAATGTCCTGTGAATTTGAAAATCAATTTTTCATGGGATTTTTCAGTTTTGAATGAAACACTTCTATCCATATCTTCTCTATTATGCAGTAATTTCTGGGTAAATATGAAGTGCTTCTCTGTAATTTGCTGAATCTCAACCAGGAGCATTTGTAAATTTGTACTTGTACTCCACCTTAAATGTAATAGCTGACCAAATATACCAGGATTGGATTGAGAGTGTGCAACACAGAAAACAAGCAAATGAAGCAAAACCAACTTAAAGATGCTAACAAATAATGACTAAACAAGAAAAAGGAAAATGGAAACAGAAGATACTGAGTGAAGCCAACTTATTGGCGATCGTGGCTCAAAGAGTTGGCAGTTTGTCTTGTAACCGGAAGGTTGCCGGTTTGAGCCCCAGCTCGGACAGTCTCGGTCGTTGTGTCCTTGGGCAAGACACTTCACCTACCGCCTACTGGTGGTGGTCAGAGGGGCCGATGGCGCGATATGGCAGCCTGGCTTCTGTCAGTCTGTCCCAGGGCAGCTGTGGCTACAACCGTAGCTGCCTCCACCAGTGTGTGAATGTGAGAGTGAATGAATAGTGGAGTTGTAAAGCGCTTTGAGGGCCCCGAAAAGCGCTATATAAATGTAATCCATTATTATTATTATTATTATTATTATATTGGAGATTATGTATCGGAATTTCAGGAGCGGGACCACGCCCCCAAACACGCTCCTTTCGGTTGTCATCTATATAGGTTCCCCCAGTTCTGCAAACCGTTCATTCTCGTTTACGTGCCCCACCCTCCCTCCTTGTTCTCAATTCTTTAACTTCTTCACTTCTATTTAGTACATGGGGATCTGCCAGGCCCGGGAGCCGTTGCCAGTCCCCTTCGAGGCCTTCCCCAAACCGCAGCTCAATTCATGTCCAAGCATCACCTTTACCTACTAAAACGCTGTCAAACCTAAACTGAGGATGTGGGCCTGGCTAGTGAAAAAAGACTACTTGGGCAGGCTGCCCAGTTCTTTTAACTGACTGCCCAATAATATTTTGAAAAACTGGATGTATTAAAAAGGGTGTTTGTTTCAAAACAAGAGCTATAAAATGATCAGTTACACTCTCATCTTGATTTTAAATATCCTCAACTCCAAAGTATGGGAAGACAAAAAGAAAAAACAGACAGAAAATTCAATAAAAGTCCTGAGTCCTGATGAGAACTCTCAAAACTGTAATCAGTTTGTGTTTTTTGATTACTTACCTTGGCTGGCTCATGAAAGCGCTCCACAAACTCTTCATAGTCAAGAAGTTCATTCTCATCAGTTTCAGCACATGACAGCAGGTACTCCGTCTCTGACTGTGTGTAGTGTTTATGGCTCTCCATGGCTTTATGAAAGTCCCTCTTGGAGATGACACCTGTTAGGTCAAACACAAATCTATAAACTTGGAAATCTTCCTGGATTCAAATGATGTAATTCCACAACAACTTATAGAAAAATAAATTACATGGACTGGCTTCCACCTCTCAGTCTTTGAATTCAGGTGTTTTCTGTCACATTGTCACAGTGTATAAAATCAAGCACCTTGGCATGCAGTCTGGCTTTACAAACAATACTGAAAGAATGGGTCATTCTAAAGAATTACCTGAATTTGAGCATGGTAATGCAATTGAATACTACCATTTTGACAAATCAGTATCTGAAATTTCTTCCCATGCTTGATTGCGTGATCGGCTGTAAGTGGTAATAATGTAAAGTGGAAGCCACAGTAACTGATTCAAGCTGCAGAGTTTTAAACCTCCTCTGACACAATTCTTTTGTCCACATGTTTTCAGAGCCTTGCCTTTTCCGTCAGGGTCATATTCCTTGAACCCATCTGAGGAGGTCAGGTCCTTCAGTTTGAGGAACATGTCGAAGAACTTAAGGATCATCTCTACATTGTTGGAGGACTCAACCAACATATCCACCATCTGCTTTCCAATGGTCCCATTCACCACATTACCTGGCAGGACAAAACAGCACATTTGCAACCTAAGAATATACTAAGACCACCACACATTTGTGGTTTCTTCACTCTGTTCCCTAAGATCACTGTGGTAGAACTAAACAAGAAAGAAAAGAAAAAAACAACAACACAGAACTAGTTACCTTGTTTTTTGTGGCAACATACAGAAGAAATTCAAGACAAGCTTCACAGAGATGTTCAGTGTATTTATTCACAAGGTACTGTAGCAAAATGTAACTTGTAATGCCCTTAACGGCAATGTTCCCTCACTTAAACTAGTTTTGGGAGGATGATCATTTTGTAGAAAATGTTGTAGAACTGCACTTCTGCAACACCGTGACACCGCTAACCTCTGAGACACCTGAGATAATGAATTTCAATACCCAAACCTGTATTTCTATGATTTCTTTCATGATGATTTGTTAAAGCAAACCTACCCTCTAACATAGACAGCAGCATAACCACCATGTCTTTCTGCAGATCCATCAGTTCCTTCAGTAACTCGATCTGACTGGAGTCCTGAGGCAAAATAAATTAAAATAACATAAAATGTTTAAAGAATTCAGCAGCCACATGTGCTCATGATGTGTTAAAAAGTAACAAAGAGTGTGATGGAATGACAGTGGTCAGTCAAAAGTTTAATATGAAGTGCTAAGATGTATATGTTTCCTGTCTTTGGCCCCAAATGTTGGTACACTTCACCATGATTCAACTCAGCAGGCACTATACATATCAGTTTAATGCTTTTGTGCTGTTGGGTGAATTTGGTCAGTAAAGCTATTTTGGCAAAGTGCAACTTTTTTAAAAACTTACTTAGTGAAATGAATAATTCTTCTTCTTTTAAAATGGTAACATATATCTTGTTATAAACTCCTCCACATATAAATGGGTTCTGCAATGATGATCAACCATTGTACTGAAGATATAGTTGTAATTATTTATAAGCAATTTGATATAAAGCACATTTAGATGTTTAGATTAGGCATGTAGAGCTAAAGCTATGGGGCTGGCATGAAAAAACACGGACACCTGAGATAAGAAAGGAAATAGCTGAAAGAGCTAAGAGAGCTCTGGTTAAGGATCTCAGTCTACGCTAATAAGGAACCAACATACCAGCAAAACTACCAGCCTTGAAGTTCCAGGAAAACATGTTCTAAAACTAAAGGGAGACATAATTTATTCTGATTTTTAAGAGTTCTTAACTGAAAGAACAGATGACCCTAAACTTGTGACTGACTGGTAGACTTCGTTCAGATATAATGCCTATCACATTAGACTCACATCACTGGCCAATAATACCCTGAAGCACAGATATTGGTAGTGTCTCGCGATTTTTTTGAGAATCAGAGATATTTATGAGTGATATTTGTTTTTTATAGAATATAATGAAAATGATTATTGGGAAAAACAATCCACAAGTTGCCAACTGTGTTATGTCTAGTGGCATTGATCATTATCTCAGAGCCTGAGTCTGCAGACACCCATCACTAAATTTACGTACCTGAGACAATTTCATCTGCATGTGAGCAAAAACATGTAGAAAGCCAACCACAGCATCCCACAGTCGACTATGGGCTAAACTCTGCTGGTTGCCGGTGCATGGACCCTAGAAAAGCATTAATAAGTGTGAATGTATTTTACAGATACAACCTCAGAAAATGACTCAAATGAAGCTTTTTCACGAAATGAATGTGACTTTAAAACTGTCCATTTTATTGGACATAATATTACAGATCACTGGCTCCCATTACTGCCCCAATGCTGGGAAGATCATTGCAGGTTTATCAGTCTGCTTGTTTTCCAATTTTTTACTTCTAATTAAGCAACAGCTGTCACTACAGTAAAAAACAAAAATAAAAACAAACTATAAACTCTATGACTTAATACCTATAACATGACTGTATAGTAGTGATTTAAAGTGGACATGAATGACTACGTGTATGCATTTAATTGTTTTAAATGTATTTGCTTAAATGGGACTGTGCATATTAAGATGAACATATGAATGTAAATATGAATTAGCCAAAAGGCCATTTTTCAGAAGTACTTCTGAAGTCTGTGACAATGATGGAAGGAAAAGGGCCAATTAGCAAAACAGTTTCTATATGAGTTTTTTATAAACTTCCATATCGGCCTTTTTCTGTGTAAAAATAACAGAATTATCTGCATACAGCTGGGTATTGATGTTATGACAGGCATTGGGTTAGTAATTAAAATGTAAAGAAAATAAAAGTGGTCTAAGTATGGAGCCTTGAGGTACTCCAGCTTTAAAACCAAGGTAAAGTGATCCCCTTTGGCTGCTTTATCGTTTTAATGTTTCTGAGGTATGAGTTTTGTCACTAATTAGCTAACAGAAACGGAGATAAGCCTATTAGCATTAAACCAACCAAGTGACGTCATGTTTTGTACTGGCACAAGATGGCGCTAAACAGGCTCTAAACACTTATTTCTTAAATCCAGCAAGAAAAACGTTAAATGTATGACAATTTTTGACCATCACTGAAATCAGCCTTTATACATGTAATGTTTCATGTTCATTTTAACACTGATGACTGTATTGTATGCCCTTACCTGGATGTACTCAGTGAGGGTATTGAAAACCTGCTTGGCCACATTTATTGCCTTGGAGAAATTCCGCTGGCCCTGCTCATCAATCACATCTTTCCCAGAATAATACCAGTAGAAATCACTGATGGACTCCTGGAGGAGAATGAAGCAGGAGGATAAGAAGAAACATGAGAGGGCTATTTTGGTTTTTATTTGTGGCAAAGTAGTAGCAGTAGTATTCAAAAGAGAAATAAAAGGAAATCATAATAATAATGTTGATTAAAACATTTTTAGCTAAATAAACTATGTTATAGTTTTACCAATTACACGGAACTCACAAGAGTCAATAACTTGTTTGCAGTATGTTATCAGCTGAGCTGCTATCTAAGCACAAGTTATAAAAGTCATTTATTGGCATTAACCCTCATAACATATCATCAAAACAGCTACCAAAATATTGTTTACCTCTACAACATGTATTTTTTTGTAATGACCATTTACACCATCTAAACATTCTTTCTCAAAATCAGATGAACTCACTGAACCTTAAAGAAAGACCTTCCAATTCAATGAAATGGAGACGCAGACACATTCACAGTTTGCTGTATTTCAAAAGCTTTACCCGTCTTTCTGTGACTTTAGCTGTGTGGTTCAGTTCTATGGCAGTGAGTGCAGAAAGTGTGCTGATGATGGATCGTTACTGCATTTTGCCTTTGCAGGCCAGAGTGAGGGTGTTGTTCTTTAGGAAAGTGGTCAGTATTCCCTCTTTTTTTATTTTAGTCTAAACTGTATGAGAAATGTTTGTCAGTAGTGGGTAAAAGAAGCTGACCTGAACTCTTAGAAGGTAGTCAACAGTGGAGATAATGATGTTAACGGTTGTGTTGTTTCCCGTTTGAGTCCTCAAGTAGTTCTGAAAGTCTGAAATAAGATACCATAAAATTCTGCGTGGAATGTGTTCAACTGAATAAATACAGTATGTCTCACAGTTCAAATCTATGTCATACTTTGCTCCATGCTATGTCTTAGAAATCACAGTTGGTTCTACTACAAGTCCATCCATAATAACCAGCAGTAATTCACATATATAAAATCACATTAAGCATTAAGGTATCTACTATTCTTTAAAAACATGGTTCAACCCATTAACGATCTAGCCATAAACAGTGAAAATGTTTTTGTGAGAGTACTGGTAAATTTTCACAAATTAAAATGTTTAAAAATGTTTAGCCATTTTCCTGTGAAATTCACTGTAGAGAACTTATGCACACCTGAGTTGTGTCCTTCACAGAGCAGCTGCAGGAAGCGGAAAAGGTCACAAGTGAACTCATCATCCTGCATGACCTTCTCACCTGGCCAGAGAAAAGAAGCACACACACACACGCACACACCGCACACGCCCATATACAGGTTACACACATGTACATACGGACACACATTTTCATAAGCACATACAGAGGTATGCACAAATGTACACACAATAACACAGGCATGATCAAGCACATACATAAATGCACACACACATTCATATAAACAGACACACGTACGCAGAAAAAAGTCACACCAGAGGAAACAAAAGCAGACAACATATAGGAAAGGGAGAGACACACAAGAAGATGGAGAATGAAGTATTAAAAGAGGAGGCGGTAATATTGTTGTGTTTTCTTTCAGTTAGTGAAAAATGTATGGCCATGGAAAACACACACGCACACACACGCACAAACACACACACAAACACACACGCACACACACACACACTTTTGGATGAGCAGTAGGCAGTGACAACAGTTCATGGTGGGCTGGTCCCTACACTGCAGCATTTTAGAGTCAGGACTGGATTTCAGCTCTTTGGTTGGTTACTGCTTTCTGTTGTAGTAATAAAATGGCATAGCTGAGGCCGACTGCTCTGTCTGGGTGAGAATGCTGCTTTGAACGATGGAATGGGAAAGAAAAAGAAGGAATATGCAACACTTTACAGTGACTTAATACATCACTATCATGACATTACAAGAATACATCCATACAATAAGAAAACACACTGAACTGAGCTGAGAGAGAGAAAATGTATACATCTGAAACCAGGGCACTACTTTTGTAGTGCAGATACATACAGTTACAAGTATTTGCCCCCTTCCCAATTTCTTAATTTTTTGCATATTTGTTCAACTTAAAAGTTTCAGATCAAACAAATTCTAATATTCGACAAAATAAAAATAACCCAAGTAAACATGTTACAGGGGGGGAAAGCTATCCAAACCACCAGGCCTCATGTAAGAAAGTGGCACAACCTTATAACTGGTTGGCAGCAAGAACTGCAATCATGTACTTGTGATGAATAGCGATCATTCTTGCACATCCCTGTGGCCTGTTTTTCTTTCCAAAATTATTTTAATTCAGCCACACTGCAGGGTTTGTGAGCACGAACAGGCTGTTTAAGGCCATGCCAAAGCATCTAAATCTGACTTAAGTCTTGACAGTGGAGGCCGCTCCAACAGCTTTATTTTTGTTTTTGAGTCATTCAGAGGTGGACCTTCTGGTGTCATCCTGCTTAACCTGAGTGCACTTGATCTTTGAGAAATGAACTGATGGCCAGACAGCAGAGAGCACAACTCGTGTTTTCATCAATTACATCAAGACATCCAGGTCCCAGGTACCATCAAACTACCAGCACAATGTTTGGCTGTTTGTATAATCTTCTTTTCATGAAATACTATGTTAATTTTATGCCAGATGTAATGCCACTCAAATTTGACAAAAATGTTGCTTTTTTCACATTGGAACTCTCCCATGGTTGCTGTTTTTGCCCTGTCACTTTCATTTTTTTAGATTGTGGCATGATATTATATACTTTGTGAGATCTTTTAGTCTACTTCACTTTGTCACATAGGTTCTAATTAAGTGATTATTTGATTGCACAGGTCTGACAGTAATCAGATAAACTAAACTCAGCCTTCCCAAAAGTGTGATTGATAATAGTAAATTCGTGATTTAACAAGGGCAGGTGTGGACAGCTTGATAAATGAAAGATAATTTAAAAACTGTGTATTGTTAGAAAACTAGACCTCTTTTAAGAGATAGACCTATGGCATCAATTTGAAAATCCTAGGTGACCTTTCCTGAGTTATGGTGTTGACTAGATTTCAGAAAACCTGACCTCTGATCACCTGATCTCCGTTCACCAAGATACAAACTTGTCTGAGATTTTTAGTAAATGCATTCATGGTGTCAATTTAAAATTCCTACATTCCCTCATTCTCAAGTTATCCCGTTCACACAGCTGAGTGTCCAGTAGGGTGATGACAATATTCCATTAACCTTTTTACCACTGCGGGGTAAAAACTGTTTGATGATCTGAAACATAAAGTATGACAAATATACAAAAAAACTACAAAATCGGGACTCTGGATAATACTTGTTAAAGGGCACGGTAGATCAGTTCCACCAAAATTTCAGAACGTTTGTTTTATTTATCACACTTAAAGAGTAAAAATCGTTCTTATAAAATATAACACGTGCTAGAAAAGAGTAATAATGGAATGCAAACATTTTTACAACAATGCCACTTTAGTATTTAGCAGTTTGATGAATAGTCATGTTTTTTTTGTTTCCTTTTTTTAAAACACAAAGAACATAATACATGATAACTATGTTACATTCCCTTTTTGTAATTGTTGCTCTGTAGCTTTCGTTTTATCTGGTGTTACGAATCCAACTCACTCATTCTTTACAGCAGTGTGCTACTGACTCTCCCTATTATCTCAAATTTAAGGGATAGGTTATCCTTCAGCTCGAGTCAAGACAGTGAAAAACAAAGCCTTTGCTCTACAACACGGTCGGTCAATTTTTAGTTAAATGAAGTAAAATATGGTTCAATTTATTTTATGCTGACTGACAAAAAAGTGTGCAATACTGGTTATCCATTGTTCATCCATCCATCCATTCGCTTCCGCTTATCCTTTTCAGGGTCGCGGGGGGCGCTGGAGCCTATCCCAGCTGTCATAGGGCGAGAGGCGGGGTACACCCTGGACAGGTCGCCAGTCTGTCGCAGGGCCAACACACAGAGACAGACAACCATTCATACTCACATTCATTCGCACATTCACACCTAGTGACAATTTGGGTTATCCAATTAACCTATCCCCACAAGCTCCCACTGTCTTTGGACGGTGGGAGGAAGCCGGAGTACCCGGAGGGAACCCACGCAAACATGGGGAGAACATGCAAACTCCACACAGAAAGACCCCGGCCTGATGGTGGAATTGAACTCAGGACCTTCTTGCTGTGCGGCAACAGTGCTAACCACCGTGCCACCGTGCTGCAATGGAAAGATGTTGTTATGGATAGAAAGATGTTTTACCCTGGAGCCCAACAGGATTGGAAAGTAGTGTGCAAGTGAACAAAGTCAGGTAACAGTTTTCTGACTTGTGCCACATTCCTTCAACTAAACCATTGTGTTGCAACACTTTTCACCCCACACACCCATTGCTCAGAAACCCTCTCTGATCCTGCTTTCAGTTGGGCCACCTTTGTCAAGTCTCTTTGCAGCCTGCATTTTGAACATCTTGAAATAAGACACCCAAAGACTGGGTACTGAGTCTGAGTCTGCAGAGACATTATACCTCTTTCCTGTACCAAAGACACCACGTCCCAGTGGCCCCCAGGATTACAGGCCTGTGGCACTGACATCATGAGGACCCTGGAAAGACTCATTCTTGACCAGTTCCGACCTATTGTGAGGCCACATAAGGATTCTCTTCAGTTTGCTTACCAGCGCTGCCTCATACCGCAGGATGCCATCATCTGCCTGCTCAATTGTGTCTACGCCCATCTGGACCAGCTAGCGAGCACTGTGAGAGTCATGTTTTTCAACTTCCAGTGCATTCAACACCATCAGGCTGACCCTGCTTGGTGATAAGCTGACAACGACGCAGGTGGATGCCTCTTGTGTCCTGGATTGTTAATTACCTGACAGGAAGACCACAATATGTGCGTCTTTGAAAATGTGTATCTGACAAGGTGATCAGCAACACAGAGGCACCACACACTTTTCTTCGTTGAAAAGAAGGATAAGACCCTTAGGCCATGCATAGATTACAGGGGCCTCAATGAAATAACCATAAAAAACAAAAACCCCTCCTGCTAATCAGTTCCACCATTTTCACAAAACTAGATCTCTGCAATGCTTACCATCTAATCCGCATCCGGGAGAAGAAAGAATGGAAGAAAGCCTTTAACACACCACTGGGCCATTTTGAATATTTAGTCATGCCTTTTGGACTCACAAATACACCATAAGTATTCCAAGCTCTGATCAATGATGTACTAAGAGACTTTATAAACTAATTTGTACTTGTCTATCTGGATGACATCTTGATCTTTTCCAGGAATAGAGAGGAACACCAAGTTCACGTCCAAGCCGTCCTACAGCGCCTGCTGAAAAACAGACTCTAGGTTAAAGCTAAAAAGCGTGAATTTCACTCCCTCTCAGTGACTTTTCTTGGTTATGTTCTTGCAGAAGGGCAGGTGAAGACAGACCCCGCCAAGATCCAAGCCATGGCGGAATGGCCTACCCCAACGTCCTGTAAACACCTCAAACGCTTTCTTGAATTAGCCCATTTCTATCACCGCTTCATATGAAAATATAGCCATTTATCTGCACCCCTCACCACTCTCACCTCCACCAAACAACCTTTTCTCTGGAACCCAGAGGCTGAGGCCAATTTCAAAAGACTGGAACATCTGCTCACCTCAGACCCTATTCATCCAAACTCCACTATGCCTTTCATCATAGAGGTAGATGCTTCAGATTCAGGGATTGGGGCTGTTTTGTCACAATATTCAGGTCCTTAAGCCAAGTTACAGGCATGCACCTTTTTCTCTTGCCTCTCTCTCTTCTCTCTCTCTCTCTCGGAGCAAAACTATAATGTAGGAGACCGGGAGTTGTTAGCCATGAAACCTGGGAGATTAACGAGACCATCCAGCAGGCTCTGCAAGATGAGCCTGATCTGGGGTCTGGTCCCCTGGGTCGCATGTATGTCCCCTCGGCAGTTCGGGCTGCGGTTCTGAGATGGGTCCACACTGCTAAGTTCTCAGCAGTTCCCTGGGGTGTTGTAGAACCATCTTGCTAATAAAACGCCATTTTGGTGGAGGACCTTAGAAAAGGATGTAAAGGAGTATGTTGCTGCCTGCTCCACCTGTGCCCACAGCAAAACCTCGACACAGCAGGCCTCCTCAAACCCTTAACTTTACCCTCACGTCCCTGGTCTCACATAGCATTAGAATTTGTCACCGGTTTACTGGCCTCATCTGGGAAATCAGTAATCCTCTCTATCATTGACAGATTCTCCAAGTC